CAGGATAAGCTCGATATGAGTATGACTCTGTCAGACAGATGGATTATAATGGGACCCACTGCTCCGCTCTAGTGTACTCAACAATTCCGAAATTAAGATCAATGTTGGCTCCTGTTAGTAACAAAGAAGTGACATGACGACTCCTCCACTACATGTGATATGTACTGTACACAGCAGTAACCATCACGTGTTCTCCCATGCAGTGTCGCACAGCAGGGAGAACACGTGATGGTTATTGTAGATTGCATTAAGAGATGACACATTTTTAAAAATAATAGTATAGGATAAAGTATCAAGGATGCTGTATTTTTCCATGACTGGAAATTTGGGTGCATGGCTCACACCCAAAAATGTTTCCCTGTGCTTATGGCAGCTGAAGGTCTAATCCTGTCACTGTTGCTGGAAAAGTTAGGGAGGGAAATGTTGCTATTTGTCTCTCTCTCTATATATGTAAAATTTGCATCGCCTAAGATGGACGTTACACAAATTACACTTTTGATGTACACTTGCACCCATTATAACATCTGCTATAGTAAATGCTGACCTTTAAAATTGTCTGTGGCTCTCCTTGCCACCATCAGAAAGGAATATAACAGAATTTAAAACATGGTGACAGATTCTTTCATTTCTGACTTACAGAATTCAGAGATGCGTTTACAAACTTAAAATGTTGTCTTAATGAAACAAAAAAGGAAAAACAGTGTAAGAAAATATGTACAGAAAGTTATTGGAAAACAAATATATCAGAGTCACTGGCTCTCATTTTATTACTCTCTTAGCATTCCTTAATAGTTTTGATAAGGGTGAGTGCTGTTGAGCTACCAATTGCAGTCACTTTTTCAGATCCCTAAAGTGTTACTAAACCCACAACAGTAAAATCAGTCTGTATATGCAGTAAAGCATGCTTGTTATACTCACTGCGGAACCTAAGGGGTTAATCCTCTGCATTGTGTAATAATGCTGTATGATCCTGACATTTCTGATCCCCCCTTCTTCCAGTGTCTCCTTCTTATCTCCTGATAAAACATATCATGTGGAGGCACTGCACATGCTCAATTTCGTGTGTATTGCTAGAGAAGATTTATTCTTGGGACAGTGCATGTGATCAGCGCAGGGCCAATCAGCACTGCCAAGACAGAGGCCAGGGGTTCTGCATCCTCTTACAGAAAACTCCTCCTAGAAGCTTTAACCAGTGATCTGATGAACACTGATAAAAGTCACAAGACTGCTCTAACTGCTGATGAGAAAAGGTATTTAGCAGTTTATATTTACTAAAATAATTGCACTTCCATGTTCTGTGTACTGTTAGAGACCAGATATAGTGAATACAGGGTCCTGGATTTAGTAACATTTTACGGTGGGAATTCCCAGAATTAACATAATCAATACAGGGGTCTGAGGGGTGTACTGAAGGAGTGTTGAAGTGTTTATGATGCTTCACCAAGCATTAATGCTAATTACTCTAGCTATATCCATATTTCAAGATGATGAGAACTTACAATCCAACAATTAACATTTTATTGAACACAATGAAATTACAATATTGATTGACACCAAATAAGATAAAAATCAGATGCATATATCGCTTAGATGATCTATTGTAATCCATTCTCCTGCTGACCATAGTAGCATAGACATGTTTGGTATCCAACTGATTGTCATCTTCTCATCCATAAGTATATAATCAATCTTTATGAATATAACTCCATGATAGCACAAATTGTGGAGATTGTATATCATAGCTCTAGTAGTTTGATCTTATGTCACAAACCAGACTTACAGGTATGTATTTCTTTACGGTTTTAGAAAAGGTCATCTATGAAAGAGCTTAACTAAGAGGCTTTCCAAACTCTGCTAAGCACAGGTTATGATACTGCTAAAGGTTTCATAACCTTCTCCCTGGAATCTAACATTATTTGCTTTGTATCTAGCGTGGACTGTGTTCTGTCTCTAGTACTTTAAACTGGAATGTTCTAGTGGGGGTTTACATGGAATGTGTCCACCACAGACATAAGATTTAAATCTGATTATTTTCATTACAGATATTTTTTTTTAGAGAAATAATGGTGGCAGCATGCTCAGTAGGACTTCCTCATTCTCCTCAGTTTGGGGTTTGTCAGACCTCATTCTTGAAGTTGTGGGCTCACAGTAACAAACTGAAGGAAGCCAGGGTAGAGGGCTTTAAGTTTTTTTTTTTAACAAGGACATAATGGATAAACAGTGGCTTTACCTAAATGTACACCATACCTTTAAGTTTTAAACTATTTTAAACTTAAGTGTTTTCCTTCCTTCTCAGTGTGATTCACAACAACATGCTACAGAAACAATTGAGTACTGACGTGATACTTTTTTTATTTGCACTAACATATAAATTTGAGGACAAGCTTTTCGGGTATTTCCCCTCCTTCAAGGTCCAGGCAGTACTGCCTGGACCTTGAAGAAGAGGAAATACCCAGAAAGCTTGTCCTCAAAATTATATGTTAGTGCAAATAAAAAAAGTATCACGTCAGTACTCAATTGTTTCTGTCACATGTGCACTAATACGGATACAATCACCTCTCACAACAAGCTAAATTTGAATGTGGCTCTTATATGAATAAAGGCTAAGGCAGTATCACTGAAAACGTCTAAACGCTGGGTTTGCAAAGCCTACATTTTCTTTGCACTGCATCATCTAAACCATATCATACTGAAACTTGACATAAAGGAAAAGTTTGAAAAATGTAATGAGTTTTTTAAGGTTCATTAGGTGATAGTTATTCATAAACATTTCTTCAAAATTCTACCATTTCATTGAAACACATCTAAAATATATTTTAATGAATCTAGCAAAATATTTTTGACAAAGATACAATTGAATGCATAAAATATAAAGTGACAAGCCAAGTTACTTGATGAGCCAAGACACTTTTTCCTGCATAATGATCTGATGCGGTATATATTAAGCATGTATATTGAAACATTTTAAACTTTTATATAGATAATTTTCAAAATGTTTTAACAATCCCATTTCAAAGTACATTATTATTAGCAGTAGGTATTTAAAAGAGAACTTAAACTGGCAAGTGTCAATATACTACCTTTTTAATGAGGACATAATGGAGAAACAGTGGTTTTACCTAAATATACACCATACCTTTAAGTTTTAAATTATTATAAACGTAAGTGTTTTGCTCCCTTCTCAGTGTGATTCACAACAACAAGCTAAATTTGAATGTAGCTCTTATATGAATAAAGGCTAAGGCAGTATCACTGAAAACGTCTAAATGCTGGGTTTGCAAAGCCTACATTTTCTTTGCACTGCATCATCTACACCATATCATACTGAAAGCATGACACAAAAGAAAAGTTTGAAAAATGTAATAAGTTATTTAAGGTTCATTAGGTGATAGTTATTCACAATCATTTCTTCACAATTCTACCATTTCATTGAAACACATCTAAAATATATTTTAATGAATCTAGCAAAATATTTTTAACAATTACATTACTATAGGCAGTAGGTATTTAAAAGAGAACTTTAACTGCCAAGTGTCAATATACTACTGAATCTGTATTAATGCCATATTTTGCAAGTCTTGGCCTGTTCAATAACAGCAAAAATATAAAAAGTGTGAAGCATAATGAAATGAATCTCACACACTTTTGTCATCCACTTTAAATATTTAGCTCTGTCATTACCAGTACAACACAAAACATGCACCAGCTACCAAACCCAGTAAAAATGTTTGAACTATAATATTTGTCAGCAGAGAGTATGTTCTCATTTCTGTTCTGTAAAAAAGCTACCTCTGCTGATGTTTGCCCCACATTTAGATTGTTTGCTCTTTACTAAAAAATCCTACTATTGCCATACTGTGGCTTAAGAGTTAACACCAGAGCCATCTTTTAACACAGGGCAAAAAGGGGTGCTGCCCTGGGCCCAGTCATTGTTGTGGGGCCCAAATCAGCTGCCTCTTGAGCTCGCAAATTGGGGTCCCATGACAATACTGTAGAGTGTACTGGGTACACGGGAGGCAGTGGTGGCACTATATTCCCCAGCCAGCAAGGAGGGGGAAGAGGTCAAGAGCTCCACTGATGTTATGACCAGGCCCCATGCAGCCTGAATGCTTGGAGGCTCAGAGCTGAGACCAGAGTGGGAGAGTTGAGAGCCCCACCCCTGGACCTCTAGGAGACACACCCTCAGACCTCTGAGAGCCCTGCCCCCGGACCTCTGAGAGTTCCACCCCTGGACCTCTGAGAGTCCCATGCCTGAACCTCTGAGAGCCCCACCCCTGGACCTCTGAGAGACCCATGTCTGGACCTCTGAGAGCCCTGCACCCAGACCTCTCAGAGCCCTACACCTAGACCTCTGAGAGCCCTGCACCTGGACCTCTGAGATCCCATCCCTGTACCTCTGAGAGCCCTGCCCCCAGACCTCTGAGAGTGGGTATTGAGCCCAGCTGTGTAGGTAGGTACTTCTCCCTATAGACTGCTTCTGGACCGTTATCCCAAACCCTGTCCTGTTTTTTTTACGAAATGCAAGCTGTGCATTGATGAAACATAGAATTTGAAAAATGGCTATTTAGTTGCTCCTGGGAGTTGTTGCAGAGCCATTTGTATATGCCCAAATGGTTTACATAAAAGGGACAGTTTTACTATGAGGCTGAAGCTGCCTTAAGATTGCTAACATAGTCTATGTTTGGTCACTCTTGTAGTACATCTTCAGTCTCTTTTTATTTCCTGTAGCACATCTTCAGTCTCTGGTTATCTCCTGTAGTACGTCTGCAGTCTCTGACCATCTCCTGTGCTATGTATGCAGTCTCTGATTATCTCCTGTAGTATGTCTGCAGTCTCTGATCATCTCCTGTAACACATCTGCAGTCTCTGATTTTCTCCTGTAGTATGTCTGCAGTCTCTGGTTATTTCCTGTAGTATGTCTGCAGTCTCTGATCATCTCCTGTAGTATATCTGCAGTCTCTGATCATCTCCTGTAGTATATCTGCAGTCTCTGTTTATCTCCTGTAGTACATCTCTGTTTATCTCAGTACATCTTCAGTCTCTGACCATCTCCTGTAGTATGTATGCAGTCTCCGGTTTTCACCTGTAGTTCATCTGCTGTCTCTAGTTATCTCCTGTAGTACATCCGCAATCTCTGGTTATCTCCTGTAGTACGTCTGCAGTCTCTGTTCATCTCCTGTAGTACATCTGCAGTCCCTTGCTTGCCTGTTTTTTGCCTGTAGTACGTCTAGCACTAGATAATATGCACAACCCTTTGGTGTGTCAGGGGCTGCAGTGTAGTTGAAGCCCCCAAAATCTCATTGGTTGACCATACTGGGATGCAATCTCAAAACAAGCTATACTGTATGTCCACAAAATAAATGGAATACATTAGAATCAGATCAAGACCTTTGTGGCTTAAAGTGTCTGTTTCACCACAAAGGCTTCTTTCACATGTACTGCAGTCCCTTCTGCCCCTCTATAAAGTGCTCCATGGCGGATCGCTTTCCAGAGGAAGTTTGCAGGCATTTAGGAGAAGATACTGCATTTGGCTTGTGGATGCGGTGACTGTGAATTCAGTGGGAAAATTTGATAGGTGATGCTGCCTGTAAAACTTAACATGTTGAGTTAGAATTGCCACACCATGAAGGCAAGCATCGCAAATCACAGCAACATGTAGTCAATGAAGCAGCTGCTATGTTCATTTAGAGGTAGTTGGTTAAAGGTTGGTTCTGTTTAATTGTCCTCTTTTAAGCCACTCTTATAATAAGTCTGGTAATGCCACTACTCTCTGTGGCATGCTTGCAGAACTTATTTTTCAACAGTATCTCAGGGGGCAGTTATTTTGTCATACTGTGTTGATTTTTTAAGTGTAAATCAGGCAAATTGCTTGTGCTGGGTATTGCCAGTAGTTACATATTGTGTTTATACTGTTTAAATATCAATTGTTAGTCCTTTTCCAGGCTTTGTCATTTAAAAAAAAGTTGTGGGGGGTTGGCAACCTTGGTATCCAGTGACAGCAGCAGTGTGTAGTGGTGTGTTAGCTGGCACCTGGAGGAATCATGGAGCGCTCGATGGACAGTAAGACCAGACAACTCGATCTGTGACAGTTTCATCAGGACACAGGGAGAGCTGTGTGCTGTGAGTGCTGGGTCCAATAACATGGAAGTGGTGAGCAGCAGCATGTAACTTTATTCTGGAGTAATCATTCAGTAAACTAAGCTGCATTACACTTTGCTGCGCTCTTTATCTTCTCCTCCCTTTCTTGCCTGTTTTTTGCTTAAAATATGCAATACATGTGGGCTAATAGCTTATCTAATGTGTTGCTTTATTTCCTCATTATCTGGTATTGCTCCTCTGCTCAGTGAGTGGTAATTATGTGCAGTGACCTCTAGCAATCAGTGAATAGGAGTGAACAGGGGGGCCCCAAGAAAATGTTTGCCCAGAGTCCAATCAATATTAAAGACGGCCCTGATTAACACTTGTGTGATTTATCTGCCCCTCCTCTCCCTTTGCACATCCACAGAAGACCCTTGTGTTCTGTGGACCATGCACAAGAGGGTTAAATACACTAGCATGAGCCACAGCTCTCATGGCCCCAGCAAGCTGGAAGTGCAGCGAATGCTGTATTATTTGGTTTGAACAAAAGTAGGATTTGCCCTGTAAAAACAGTGATCTAGAAGTAGGATGCTGATTAGCAAAGGAAACTTTATGCTGAATAGAAATGAGTAAAGGCTTTCTGACTTAAGTTCTACTTTAACTCTGTATTCCAGCTGGAAAGAAAGTAGACCCCTCCACTCACAGTAGGTGCTGTACAGGTGACTTTTGTAAACAGTACACAAAATGTTATAATCCCCATTTAAATCCCAGTCAACACACTCATTCACTGATTGCTAAGGGAAAAAAATCAGATTAACCTTGGGTTTACAAGTGTTAGAGCTGAATTCTTGGTAAAAAAAAAACCTTCATTTAAAAATATATTCCTTAATATCCACAAAAGCTACATATCCCTTTTGTGTGCAGCAATTGCCCTTATTAACCAAGATACAGTATTACCTTGCAATTGTAGCAGTGACATCATTACTTTGCTGTATATAATATGTGTAGAGAGCAGAGCTGTGAGAGGAGTCCAGCAAGTCCATCCACAACAGTCTCCCTACAGAAGACTACGGGAGGGGGAAGAGACAAAAACAATCACCCTTCACAAGAAGAAAGAGTGACAGTGATGGATCTTTATTACAGGAAGCTTCTGCACAGTGGCAACGTTTTATGCTGGATTACTGCATGGATCTGCGAGAAATCCACAAAACAACCAAGATTAAAGTAAGAATGCACATGGTTTATGTGTTTACACAATATTTGCTTATCTGGAGTGTGACTTTAAGCTTCAAATACCAAGGGAGAGTTATTATCTGGGAGCATTCATCTTTAATAAAGGGGATCAATGTTTGAGAAACTGTAACTTTAAGTAGGAACTGCACTCTGAAATCTGTGCCAAAAAATGAAAACACAAATGTAAAATGACAAAGAACTAGCTATTACTATTGCCTATACACTCCCTTCATCCAATTGTTTCTCCAGTACTGGCTCACTATGCTTTGCTCTACACTGTGGCTTGTGTGAAGGCGATCATTTTAGTAAAGGCTATGGTTTGCTTCCTCATGTCAGAGCTGCCCCAGTGATTACTGGTGGGGGAATATCCAAGAAGCAGCAGGGACAGAGAAGAGGTGTTTAAAAAGCACAGCACAGATACATTGAATGGATTTAGCAGAAGCAAAAGGACCCATTTGCTGCAGGTCCTCAGGTACAGGTTTTTTCATCCAGCAGAAGGAACAGTGAGTAGCACAATAGTGGCATCACAAAATCCCACTGCAAAACCTATAAGGCTCACAGTCAAAAGCAGCAGCATCATAAATATTCTAACAATGCACAGGAGTGCACTGCTAATTTTCAGGAGTAATTTAGGACAAAAGGCTAATCTTTTAGATTACTGCTTAGATACAATTAAAATATCTAGAAGTTCCCTATATAACAGCTAATATTCACTTTTCGAGTTCATGTTTACTTTAGGTCAAGTACCATAGAGCTTAGTTAGTTGATGTATCAAAAGGTCTTGCAAATGTTAGAGCTCCTTCACAACATGCATTCACAATATAATGGATTTTAACTGTTTTGGGCTGTGATTTGCATATCATAGAAAAATTACTATGACCCTTCGAGTCTGGTATGGATTTTAAGGGGAAACCCCCACACAAAAAGCATGAAAAAAACAGCAGGCCCCCATTCTCAAAAACCTATACCAGAGCCTTATCCAAGCATACAAGTGTGTCCCCTTGAATCATACCAGGCCACATGCTTTCAACATGGAGAAGGTACTCTGCTAGGAGGATGCCTCTGGAAAAGTACCTTGTCCTCATGTTGATGTGGACAAGGACATCTTCTCCAAAACCTTGGCCTACTGGTTGTGAGGGTCTGTGAGCAAATAAGCAAGGGGAACATAGTGTCCCTTTTTATTCACAAAACACATGTATAGTATATAAACATACAGACATATTTTTACATGTCCTTTTAAAGAAAAACAAAAATGTAAATCCATTGTCAATCACATCATCCAATGATGTAGATCCACTTCAATCATGATGAATGATGTCCATTCACCACCTGAAAAATACTGTGACGTGATCCACTCTTGACAACTGGATTGCTAGTCCTTTTAAAAAGGGGCTTCCAGATTCTACTAAGTACCATGCCTACAGACCTCCACAACCACTGGGCCAGGATTGTGGGGGAGAGGCCTTTGTCCTCCACCAGGGGAGGGCACACTTATCTCCCCCTTTCTTGCCCTGCCAGGCTGAGTGCTATGTCTCTAGTATAGATTTTGGGAGGGAGCACATCTATTTTTTCTTGTTTTTTTAGTTTGGTTTCCACCTTAAGATATATAATAGATCTAAAGGATCTTGTATGGTATTTAGGGGGACCCTACATCATATATTTGCATGGAGTTCCCTCAAATCCATAGCAGACATAAATTAATATAAATTTTGGTGGTACACCCATGCCATTTTTTAATGTAACATCCACTATCCCTGCCTTTTTTTTTACATTCAGCTGCCACCTGGAATTACAGGCTAGTAGCTGAGATGACCAGGCAGGAATACATCACTAAACTAAGCAGTAGTAATACAGCTTAAAAACATATCACTTTCAGCCGCTGCCAAAGGGTACGGCTCAGCTGAATACCCGATTAGTTTGGCCATTCTTCAAAACTCAGAACAAGTTGAATTCAGTTTTAACATGAGTTCGTACTGAATCAGAGCTTATCTTTACAGGCTATCTAAAAGAGAAGGATATACTTTAATTTTAACATCTGAAAAATGTTGCATGTCAACGAACATTTTTGTAGACACTGTTTGCATGCAGCATTCATGGTTTACAGACAATTTCTTTGTAAATTGCTGTTATTTTAACCCTTTGCATGAAGTTTCCTATGCTGCTGTTTTTTTTTTCCTAGACTTACAGTAGTCCAAACTTATTTAAGTTTTCTGCCACAGTCTTAAGACTGCAATTAGCATACCACATTTTTTCTGCATGCTATATCAGATTACAGTGCTTTTTTCCAGTGCAGTGCAAAATTTCAGCAACCCTATGCCCATTTTGTTTGGAAATACTTTAATAATCCTGTCATAACTGTGCTGTTTTTCTTTCAATACCTTACAGTTTTTAACCAGACTCCACTAAAATAATCAATGACTAGATACAGAGACAAGTTTAGGAACCTCTGACACCATCTAGTTTTTCCAATTTTATGTGTTTATGCAATCGATTATTAGAGATTTTGGTATTGCCGTGGATAGGTGACTGGAACAGGTAACTTTCTTTTAGTACAAGGCAGACAGACAACTACCACTACTATGCAAAATAAAACTATACAATGATATATGACAAATTTTCCAGCAGATGCCAACAAGCTGCTTCCTTAAGGGCCAGCAGCAGGAAAGTCGAGATAAAGCTTGGAACTGGAGATGAGCTACCAAAAGTGAAAATTGTCATGCTGAAATGTAGGATTTCACATTCACTTAAAGGGATTTAGAGATGAGCAAAGTGGGCAAAATTCAATTTGCAGGAGGTTCAGCAATCTCAGTAAAAACTGTGCTATACCTGAACATAGCTCCACTGAAGTCTATGGAAACCAAATCTTATTATTTATTTTTTTCTTAGCCCTGTACAAGGCTAATATGCACATTTTAAGCATAGGTAGCTCAGCACTGCTATGATAAATTTACAATTGAAAGAAAAAACAATCTAAAAAATTCTAATGCACCTTAAAGGAGA